TTTTTCAGTAAAAACGTAATTTTCTAATACACGAAATTTAGAAATATATTCCTTCCCAGCATTGATTAATTTTATAACGCTCCGGTCTACGAGTTTTATTTGTAATGTTACAATATGTGACAATATTTCATAACCGCTACTGAAGATGAAGTCTCAAGAAAAGAACGGAAGAGGTCACAAAAAGTCTGTAACGAGATTTTGGAAGTAATTTAAGGCTTGTTTGAAATGAGAAAATATTGTTTTTGCCATTGTCTTCTATGCACTTATAGGCCTGCATAACTTCGAGTGCATAAGGCATGCATACAGCTTTACCACATTCAACCTTCCTCACTCTCTCCGGTACATGTAAGGAGATTACGTTTTGATTCTTTACTCAATGATTGAAATACGCTTGCTTTTTAAAAAAAATGCTGAGGCAACGCAGCAACTAAATTGAAAAAGGAACAGGGACTTGTCTACTAATCACTCAATTTCAAATTGAATTGTCATACCAATTATGTGAAGAAATTCTACCAAGCGAAGATTAAGCATGCACGTGCATGGTAGGGGTTTCCGACTAGAGTATTTTGTAAGCACGTCACACAGGCGCAGAGGCTCATGCGCATCAATAATAGATCCTTCTGTAGCACGTATGGCATTAGAGAGCTTTAGATTTGCTGCGGCTACGAAATTCGTCACTGTAGCGCGAAACAAACGTTGTATGCATACGCCACCTCGTGCTGGCATGAAAACCACTGCAAACACAATAATGAATGGGCATGGTAGAAAACACGGGTAACGGATAACCGGATAACCCGATAACCGGATAACTTGATGACCGGATAGCCAGATAACCGGATAACCGGACAACCGGATAACCGGATAACCGATACTCCAGTAACTGAACATTGATAGATATCAATGTTCGATATCGAAATAAAGATTATAGACAACATTTCTAGCCTGAACGGTAAATTACCTTGTATTCATTTAAAAGGCTCTGCGTGAACTTTATAAATATTCGTTTGGTTAAGTAAAAAACAAATTCCGAATACACAGGAAATCTTGAGGAACAAAATGTTAATAAAACAAGACACATGTTAATTAAGACTGTAAATTTTCGACTTTATTGCAAAGTCATCTTGAGACAGAATGAAATACAGTACTTTAAAACGCAAATATATACAACAGAGAGAAATTAAAAAGAGCAAAGAGAAAGTTGTAGAGTAGATGTAATAGAAAGGTTTGTTATGTTTGATTAGGAGTGCTTCAAAAAAGGCGAGAAAATAACACCGAATATCTCACTTCAATCATGCATGCCGGTCGTCTTATGCACAATGTTTGTGTGATACTTTTGTCAAAATATATTACTTTTTGTCCTTTTTACTTTTTGCCAAGTTTGAGGTCAAGCACAGTCTGCCTACCTTTGACTACGATCAGCTTCAACATTTGTTTAATGTAGTGGAGTCTTCTACAAACACTGAAAGACATCTTGATTCAAAAATTTAAATAGATATTCTAGTTACAGAAATTAAAGTTCCTGTTGCTCTAAATCTAATTTACCGTTTAGTGAAAAAATGTAAATATATATATACAGTCGTTATCAAAAAAGGTTGTCATATGAAAAAATATACAAATTCGTAAATATCGGTCACGTGATTTTACTACATACGTTAATTTAATGAGAAATCGTTGGAAATCTGTCGTGAAAATTTCTTAAATGTCATAGTAAGCTGAACAATATTGTAATAATAAAGAAACACGTGATAAGTGATCAAAATAAGCCATGTTTAATGGTCACGTGATTTGTATTTATATATTTCTATATATATTGATAGGGACAACCTTTTTGATAACATATATATATATATATATATATATATATATATATATATATATATATATATATATATATATATATATAATATATAAATTTGTGTGTCGGCGCAGGTATAGAGCTACATTAGCCATAGCATTGAAACCACATTAGTTTACTATACAGTCTGTGTAAAAAAAGATGCAACTTCTGCACGCTATTGTACTTGAACGACTCTATAAACGAAAATTCTTTACATTAGGAAAGATCTAGCTTTTAACGCTCGGATGAGATGCCAACTGTTGAAAAATTGAGCGCATAGAATGCTGATAAAAATGTTACTAGAAATCACATATTTTCACCTTTGAGCCTAATTGAGGAGTGCCTAACAAAGGAAAAAACCATTAATAACGAACATGTCAGAGCCTGTGCTGGTTTTACAACATATGTTTATTGCAAGAAGATAAAAAAATACGTCTTAGTAACTATAACTCTCCTGACGAAAGCCCTCAGGTAGAAACGTCGAGAAGGAAAGGAATTAAGTAATTAAATTAATTAAGTGATTTAAGTAATACAATTAAGTAAAGTATCCAAGATGAAAGAGTGCTGGATAATAAAACAATTCATGAAATAAAATCAATGAAATATTCTAAAACTTGGATATATAGTTCACTAAATTCTGTGTTTCACGTTTCTTCGGAAACGATCATCATATTAGTATAGCTAATAATTTTAGTTAAACATTAAAGTGAAGGTTAATTCATGTACTTCCGTATTTTAGCCGACACATGTTATTTGTTTGCAGTTATTTCCTATATTCTTTTAATTAGTCAGTAATATCTTGCGTCAATCATATCACGTATCAAGCCTTCATGCAGACTAATTCGTAAAAATCGTTCATAAATTTAAAGCGTTCGAACGTCAAACGTCAAAACAGATCGTTCTCTACCGGTTCGTTCGTTATCCGTTAGTTTTGCCGTTTCAAGATAATATCGTTAACCTATGTTTTCCCGTGCAAGGTCATTTTTATTGTTTTCCTAGTACTTGCATGCATGTCATTACCCTATCATTACCCTAGTTTTATTATCATAAGTGCCATGAAATGGATTAACGCATGCGGATATCAGTAACGACGGAGAACGTGCATGTCTGTCAGCATGTTTAAACTTACCCTAATGAAGGAAGGTAATTCGTTCCATAAAGCATGTCGCAAGAACCTATGAAAAATGTGTAACGAGCATGCACAATTTTACAGTGGAGTCTGTGGAGACCAGAAATAACCTAATACTGCGGCTACATGCAGTTCGGTTGCAAAAAGGAAAAAATATGCAAGTGAAAAAACATGATCGCGGTTGCCGTTCGCCTCCGAACGAAATGTTATGAATTTTAAGAAAGGTCTGCCAAACCGAGTTAGACGGAGGTTCAACATTGCTCTGACCTAGGTTAACCGCGGTTTTGTTCGGCATATTAAAACTTTCTCACTCTATGGCCGTACAAACTGTTGATTTCAGAAAACTATAAGTTATAGTATTAAACAATTAAAACCATTCCAAAATTAAAACACTGGTAATATCATATGTATGAGGAAATTAGTATTCTCTTGGAGATGTTTACGCAAGTATGTGGTATTGAGTGATAACTTGACAGTCCCTGTTTCTTATCATCCTTTAGAGATGCTGTTTGCGCCGTGTGCTACAGGTAGTAAAGATATTTTTAGGGTAAAGCATTCGAATAATGGCTAACAATAATAATACGGCGTTTATGGTTTAGCAACGTTTTCCGCTAAAGCGTGAATTTCAGTGCTTTAAACATAGGGGTTGTGTCCAATGAGCTGTAAGGTTAATAATGTCAGGTCGTGACAGTACTGTCTTGTACTCTCAGGAGTTGTGCTCATTTGATACGAATTCTAAAATCTAAAATCTTTGTGGTGTAAGAGTATGAATGTAAATCTCAAATGGCCATCTTTTTGAATTTTATTTAAAGTCCTATCAGCAAAGAAATCAGGTATCGATATCCGATGTTTTTATCACCAAAATCTTGCGAAGAAAGGAGGATGAACAAATTTTGTAAAAAGGCTCTATAAGAGTGTAAATTTCTTTTCAACAAAACAGAAATTATTTTTATTGCGCATGCCCCACCCCTTTAAGGTGGTCTTATCATTCTGGCTACGCCACTGCATGTCCACTACAAATAATTTTTTTTTAATTTTGAAAAATATAAAAATCTTTTCATGCCATGTTGCACGGCAAAATGCTCTAATTGAAAAAAGACTTGTAAGAGTCTTCAATCACTGTAGTTAACCATACCAGACAAACCCAATGGTGGAAAATTGACAATTTCTGTAAAAACGATAACAAACTAGCTAGGTTTTAACGAAAGAACGACAGGATTGGTTTTATTTAATTCTTGATATTTTTGCCTCGGAGATGAACCAGTATTAAACGTTTTACAAGCTATAAATATAAAACTTCTGCGATCTATCTCGAATAAACAGTCTGCAAGTACTTCAATGATTGTAATAATATTGAAGTTAGTATGAAATTTAAAAAGACAGGCAGGCACATTCTGTCGTGTAGACAAACTCCTACAAGCCCGTTATGTATCACATTATATAAATTAATGATTTATATTAGGTTGTGCAGGAAGCGAATTACAATATAAATATAAACAGTTTTGCATGCGCTATAGCAAAGAAAATTGTTTTACCCAACTCTATAAGCTACGTTTTGCTGACTGTTATTTAATTTAATCTCAACGAAGAAATCTTTAGTTCTCGCCCTTTGATAAATAGTGTATATGTTTGGCACAGCAATCAATTAGTGTGCACTGTGCAAATAAATTTCTCTCAGTTCGCAGACTCTTAACAAAAGGAAAACAAAACCCTCATTCTTATAGCTGATAACGTCATTCCTAAAAAAAAATACTTGGAGTAAAAATAAAGAAAATATGGAAAAGCACTATATATAGGTATATTATAAAGTACGAATAAATTCATATTTTTATCGCACTTCTATGAAATTTTGTGTCATACAGCAAATTTAATTAACGCCTTAATATAAACTTCATTTACGTGATACAAATCGATCAATCAAAACAAAAGATTACAAAAATGAAAATTGAAGTGGATATTAATGAGAATCTCTTCGTTTCTATGGGTTTCTTATATATACGTTATAAACTGAGGTTAGAGAACATCATTATATAGTTAAAGTAGTAGAACTGTGACAAAAAGTAAATCCCCCATTTTTTCTATTTTTTTCTACTTCTATTTATTGTATAATTATAGGATGTAACATGAAAGTCTACAAATGAAAGCTTAAGCATAGTGATTACCGCAGGCACTAAACATTTTAAACTATTCGGAAATTTACTATCAAAACAGTGCGTTTTATGCAACAGATGCAAGTTCCACTCAGTGACAACCGTACAACTCGAGTCTCATTGTAGGATAATTTCTCCATGATTTCGGCAGCACACGAATGTATCGAGCATTGATTTCAGTTTTAAATGTGTTGGTAACAATGGAGTCTCGATCTTTGTTGCCTTGGAAAACCTACCAAGTCAAATAACACAAGGATTAGTTTTATCATATTTAACAAGTACGATCGTACTTTAGTGGACCAGGAACTGCGTGACCGAGTTTTTGAACTGCATGCATTGTATTTACAACAATAGAAAGGATAATGTATTTCTAATCGTTTGCGTATTCTTATATATAGGCTGAATATTAATGATATATAGGCTGAATATTAATGATATGTATATTTTTGCTGCACATATAGTCAAGAATTGCTTGTAACTTGCTTTAACGGTCAAAAGTAAAAATTCGAACTCCGTCAATCGATGCGGAATATTGCTTAGAATAATAGTGCCAAGTTTCATTCCGATCAAACAAGTAATGATAGAGCCTTAGGGTTTTTTTAAAGAGCGTCGCCCCCTATCAAGAAGAAGAAGAAGAAGAAGATTAGCAGCGGTTAGGGACCAGTTCCTGGTCCAATAAACTTATACAGTTATACAGTTACAGTTAAAAATTATACAGTATTATTATGTTACACTTTTCCATGCATCTAGGGCAGCGTTTTCCCGCCTGGTTGGGGACAACCTTCGAAGAATATTTAACACTTCAGTCGCTAGGAAAATATTCGCTTCACGGTTTAAACACAAAACGTCATGCCAACAATGCTGCCATGCATATTTGAACTTCATATCCATGCACTTTATTGTAATTCCACGTTAACACATGCAGAAACAAAGAGCCCCTTTAAAATATTGTAACAATTTTTTATTAGTTTTAGTTTTAGATATAGTTGCTTGTTTTCAAATATAAAATTACTACTGAGATAACTAGATGTAATCATCATGCCCATAATTATTATGGTTTATAATAGTATAACGTTCATACTACACGCGTGCTGATTAGTCGAGAAATGTGTTTCTTTATTAAACTGCATGTATGAAAACTCGGGACGTATCGCGCCAGACAAGCCAATAATGAAATGAGAAATTGGATTTCAATAAAATCACAATACTGTATTTGTACAAATTCCTTCTATTGAGCTATATTATTTTGACAGAAATAGAATTTTTTTTCTATTTCTTAAAAGGTAGATTTACAGGAGCCTGCTCGCAGACTGAATTAGGGGGCCGGAACTGATTCAAGGGGAAAACTCAGTCGGCTTAATTGCGGGCTTTTTCATGTACGGCGACGTAATATAAACTGCATAATAATATGATAATTATTTGGGCGCACCCAATACTAAAATCATGGCCAGGAGCGCCGAACAGCAAACGGCCATGTATTACAGCGCCAAATTTGCCCAGCACATCCCAGACATTCACAAAGGCTACGAAATCCGTTACCAGTAAACGTGAACTGGTCAGTGCGCTGCTAGAATTGTTGGAAACACAAACTAAAATTTCACATTCAACCCCAGCTGTTTGCTCAACATATAACTCCTTTAAATGAATTGTAGATCACACAGTCCGCAAGGCTGTTCACGCAACGGTGAACATCTATATCGTAACTGTACTTTGACGACGCCATGTTTTCATTTCATACAGTGTTAAATCATCATATTTCTAAAAATAACTTATTCAAAATAATTAGCGACTAAACGAATCAAAACGCTTGATCTATCGTTGATATGTTTGAGCCAATCACGTTCAGTTACTTAAATCCTTGTAAGTGTTACGTCACCGTACACGATAAAGCCTGCAGTTCAGCAGACTGAATATTCCCCGTTTAATTTCCGGTCCCCTAAATCAGTTTGCGAGCAGGCCAGGTAGATAAACGACTCACTTTTTGCAACATTAGAAATTTCGTTGAATTTTTATGCAAGAGCATGTGGGAAGCCAGAGCCAATTGTAAATATGAGTTATTTGATTACCTTCGCAGTCCCTGACTCTTCATAATCAGTCCAATCAGCACCATTGTTGCTGTAAGCAATCGAGTAAGAAATCGCCCACTCTGCATGGTTATAACATGTTCCTCGAGTTGCAAATCCTGTGACAGCTGTTTTTTGTCCAAGATCAACTTGTAACCACGAGCCAGATCTTCCTGCTCGGGTTGGCGCCCAACTACAAGCACCGCCACTCTTATCCAATCTTGCGAAGTGAGGGTGGTATGAATTACTAAAAGTTGTTGATGCTGTGATTTCCGAATCGGGTATTTTGCCGCTTTGCATTCCCAATGGTTTGGGGTTTGGACATCGAACTACAAGAAAGAAGTTCTATATCAAAATATGATTACTCAATACCTCTATATACCATATAATTATAGTCAGCCGAAATATAAGCGTGCGCCATGAATGACCATCATCCCAATTGAAGATAGAAAACTCTCGCTTAATAAGTAACCATGTGAAGAAATGCAATAAATAAAATATTACCAAAAAGAATCGTTTCCTAGTTCATTTTACTTATCAGCAGCAAGCTTTTGGGCAAGCTACCAAATGTTGATGATACTGTAATGGTTTGGGATTTGTGTATGGAACTAGCAGAAAAAAGTTGAATTTCAAAATACGATTGCTCAACTAAATGCCATATAATATAGACAGGCGAAATATAAGTGCGCGTGCCAGGCAATTTCCGCTTACAAAATAACCATGTAAACAAATGCGCGAAATAAAATATTCTCAAAAGAGTGCAGCGAGCCTTTCGGGTTACCTCAGCGTAAAATGCCATGCCATTTGTAAGTTAATTTAAAACCCTACAACGTTGTGTTAGTTTACCATGACTTGGTGTACGCTTTACACCACCGGCAGGTAAAATTACCCCATCAGTTCGGGTTACTTGACATTAACTTGGTATGCGTATAGCACCAGTTGCAGGTAAATTACTCCAATATTCGTGTCAGTTTACTAATTTACTCTAACTTGATGTAAGGATCGAGGCAGACATTTACACCATTTTTAGTGTTGGTTGATCACTCAGAAATTTAGGGTGATACGGATTTGGCAGTTCTGAAATTATATTTTTATATTTTAGTCTAAATCGGCGAGGGGTTTGCGGCATGCTTGTATTTCTAATTATATAAACCCTGCAGGTCTCTTAAAAATTTCTCGCAACCAAATATGAGGGTAAATATCTGATAACGAAATCAATATAAAACACCACCATGCATACGCGTGCATACCCGACAAAGACATGCACTATATCTGTACTGTACCTGTATTGTCAGCACAAACAGCTTTATACGCAGCAATATGCTCATCAACTGATTTCCAAATATCTTTGCAACAGCCGGGAGGGAGATTGTTGCCTGGTGCGCACAGTATTTTTCCAGCTTTAATCTTCTCGTTCATTATCGACTTGATTTCTTCACAACAGATTGCTTCGCCATACATCGTCATAGAAAGAATACCAGCGAAAAGAAAGAACAACGTGCTACCCATTTCTTCTGGTGGTGATAATAACTCGAACAGCTGATTACGTTCTAGTCAAGTCAAACTAATTCATATGTATATATATATATATCGTGTGTGTGGGCGGGGGAATGAAATTGTGTCCAGGGGCTTCCAAGTAGAGTTTTTGTAACACGTTCACGGTAGCACTTATGACCTGCTATTAATATGCACCTATAATGCAATTAAGCTTCTTTAGCCCCGATAACAGAAATTTTTGTATTCCCATGGGACTAACCTTGCGTGCCTTTAAAAAAGGCTGGATACGCGTAGGCAGACTAAAATGGAAAAGAAACAGGGACTGTCAAGTTTTCACTCAATACCACATTCTAGGGTAAACAGTTGACAGACATTTCTTAAGATGTTTTCGATTTGATTATTGTGTTATCGTTCTGGGCAATTCATAATATTCCGTTTGGAAGCATTTTTTTTCCGGTTGCGGTCGTCTGCGGTTGCTATTCGTCGACCCCAACCGAACAGCAAACGAACCAGTGCTAGGTTATTTCTGCTCTATACTGTGTATGCATGCCTTATACATGCACCGAAAGTTATCTCGGCTTATAAGTGTGGAAGACAATGCCTGATTTTTTTCATGGTCTCATTTCACAATGCTTAAATTATTAGTTATATCGCGAAACAAATTTTTTAGTGAATAATATCATAGTGAAGTAAACCAAGTTTATTGTTTTCTATCTTCGTGTTTCCAATATAATTATGATATCTTTTTTACATTAAAAATTATAAAATATATAATTTCTGTATTTCTAATATAATTATAATATCATATAAGTGCTACGAAATGAATAACACATACGCACGATTGTCTCATGTTTAGAAAATACTCTAATCGGTGTAATACCGTGAACTAACATCGAGACACTCTGGTCGTAAGGCCGTGACAGGCGCAATTATTAAATAATTTATAATATGCTATGTAAATACGTATATGTATATGCATACATTCAGTTTTCCTCCCGATCCATTCTTCAATAAAAACGTAATTATCTGTACACGAAATATGCAAATATATTCCTTCCTTGAATTAATGAATTTTTTAACGCTCCGGTCGAGTTTTATTTGTACTAGAGTTATAATATGTCATAACAGCTACTGAAAATGAAGTCTCCAGAAAGGAACCGAAGAGGTCACGAAAAATCTCTAACGAGATTTTGCAAGTAATTTAAGCTAAGCCTTGTTTGAAATGAGACAATATTTTTTCTTACATATTCTCCTATACACTTATACTGGATGACTTCGAGTGCATAAGGCATGAATACAGCTTTCACTTTTAACCTTTCTCACTCTCTCCCACACATATAATGCGATAACTCTCTTAACAACGTAGCGACTAAATTGGAAAAGGAACGGGGACTGTCTATACTAATCACTCAATATCAAATTTAATTGTCTGCCAATTATGTGAAGTACCTCCTCGAAGCGAAAATTAAGCATGCACGTGCATGGTAGGGACTTCCGTGTACAGTATTTGTAAACACGTCTATGGTGGCCGAGAACTGCCATTCAATTTTTCCAAAATAAAATTATCAAAATTAATCAAATTGAAACGAATTTCAAATAAAAGTAATTTAAAACAAAAGAAAATCAAATTAAATAGAATATTTTTTAACACTAAAATAAAGTTAAAATAATTTGAAAGTAAATTCAAATTTCCACACGGCCTAGAGCTGCCACAGTATACCATAATACCTTGCGGGCATCTTATTTGAAACACGTGTAAAATGTAAATGTGTTTACTAAAACTGTTTCATCATGGCTGATCGAGCATGGCAAACATATAAGGAACAAATGAAGCAGAAACGCCTTAAACCATGCAACAAAAAGAAAGTTGATTCTGCAAATAAAACGGACGAGCTTGTCGTCCAACAATTATCAGCTGAGGTTGCTGGTAAAGCTCAGAAATATCTTCGTGTCGGCCCGAGAGAATTCGTACCGTTCAATTTTGATGAAGTCACAATTGCCAACATAAAGATAGCTTGCGAAAAGCACTTTGCTCACAGAATGGGAAAGAATATGTCCTGCGATGTACTCGCCGGGGAACAAGGTCCTTCTTGTAAGACCGTAAGTCAAATTCCGAGCACGAAACTGATTCATATTCGCTTTATTCCCGACGCAAATATTGACATCGACCTGTCAGCCGACTTAAAGAGTAGGCAGCTTCCTGCAACCAGTACTAGCAGCTTGGCATCTGAAATTTCTATCATAAGAAAGCGAAAGGTGGAGTCGACTTTTAGCGAAGCTGGTTCGAGCAGCCTGCCTAAAGCAAAGCGTCTCCCCACTGGTTCTAGTCCAAGCAAATGCTATCCGAAAAGCTTGTCAGTGCTTGACATGATTAAGCTGGGAAAAATTGTTGACAAACATAAAACAACTGTGATCCACTTGTTTTCATTTGACATTGACTCAATGAGCTGGTGTAAGGTCGCTAAAACTGTTGAATTTCTTCTGGATCCGGAACCTTTAGGTGAAGGAGGATTTAGAGCTGCCTATAAAGCTGCAAGTCAGCATGCCGATTTCAAAGGCAGATCTTGGGTCGTAAAGAAGTATTTGCCTACTGCTGTGTCCACCATTCAAGCTACCAATCTCACTGTGGTAGATCACAACAAGAGAGTGGTGCAAATGCACATGCTGGCCCGCAACTTTGCCCTACAGCTGAAAGAAGAAGTTACAAAATATCCATTGAAAGCTAGTGAATATGGTGAACAAATGAAGTACAGAAGTATTTTTTTGGGCAATACAGATGATGGTGAAAGCGTCACTGTGGAAGAATTTGTTGGTGGTTCCTTTGTGAAATACATCAACAACACTGGTTTATCATGTGTTTCTAAAGATGATCCTATTGGTCAAAAAGCCCAATGCCTTTCTCATTTTTCGTTTGAAAAATCTGGAAAGAAATTAATGGTTGTTGATATTCAAGGAAGTGGGTGCAACCTGTATGACCCAGAAGTTGCTACATACAACACAAGTGATGATGACGAAATCCTCTTCTGTGCGGGTAACCTTGCTGGTATTGCCATCAATAATTTCATTGCTCAGCATGAATGTAACAGGTTTTGCAATCTCATTGGACTGAGCCAGCTAATTTAAGTGTATCTTTTAAAGTGCCAGGACACTACATTTGACTTCACATTTTCTGTTGCTAATTTTGTTAAGTTGAAATGCTATCTGAACAAAATTTTTGAGAGGAGAGTAATTTTTTAGAAAAAATGCATGGTGCTTCTTTGAGATTAAACAACAAAATATTTATTTTTACAGTGTAAAATGTAGGTGTAAAACAGTTTTTTTACTGAAAATTGCATTTCTGTTTCAAGTACAAAAAGGTATCTTTGCATTCACTTGGTTCGACTCTATCAGGATAGGGCAACACTCTTTCACATTCAGCTCTGAATTCATTTTCAAGAAAATCTGTAGGAACTTCAAGTACACCAGAATGAATTGCCACAGCTTTAAGCTCTTCTTCAGTCACAGCCCACCCTACATTAGAAGAATTGTTAGCATTAGAAGCATTAGAAAAGAATACATTGTCAGTTAAGGTTAGGGTTAGGTTATGGGCAATTTTGACAAATCAAACAAAAAATCAATAGTGTTCATATTATGCAATTGATTCTACATTCTACAATTTACCTTTATCTTCAAATCCATATAATTCAGGGAAACTGTATATGTGGTTTGGTATTCCATCAGGTAAATTTGTATTCTTCTGGGCACGAATCCGATGAGTATTCCACACAGACTCTTTAAAAATATCCAACTCCTTTTGAAGAACTGGGATCATCAAAAAAGCAAGAAGCTTCCTACATGAAGTGAAACACATTATAGTATATACCTGGTACATATACATTCAAGTACAAAGAAATATTCAACCCTATTACCTTGCAAGATTGCCAGAGTTAAATCATATGTATAGTGTTACACAAATTACTAGAATAAAAAACAGTGGACTTACCTATCATTTGGGTTGAATGGATTATATTCATTACTGTCCTTTAGCCAGTTTAGGTGGTGTTTGAAGTACTTCTCTAAACGTTCATGTAATTCTCTCCACCAACGCTCAATCTAGTAAAATAATGAAAATTAATTGTGTGTTACTTTGGTTGATTATTCAGCTTCACCATACAAACAATTATACATTCCACCCCCAATAACCCTTTTAGCAAAACAGAGCCTCTTGAGTGATAAGGGCAGAATTGAAAGGTAACACTACATGTAGTTTATTATATTGATTGCCCTTACTTGATTTGAAGTTGAAGGCCCATATACAACTGTATCACTCGACTCCATATCCCCATGATTTCGGCGTAAAAATGCGTGCATGGTTGCCATGATGCCGGTCTCAGTACCCTTGTCTAGCCGCATTATAGATGCAATAACCATGTTTTCATACAAATAATCTAAGTACCATCTGCCTATTATCTTCGGATCGCTGTTGCTCACCCAAATGCGAAGCCATAGAAGTTTCCGACTTGCAGAATCAATGCAACCATAAACTGCCAATGGAAAAGTGGAATTTTGATATCCCATTAGCTTGTCGTGGCCGTCTAATGAATGGACCCAATTTGGGCCCTTTGTCGTGAAATTTCCCTTCCCTCTCTTGTTCTTCTTGAGACCAACCCCACCACGTTGTTCCAAGCCTTCTGGGTCAAGCTCACCCATTACTGCGTGCACCAAATCTCTTGGTACATTCAGGTTGTGCTCCTGTCTAACTTTTTTTTGCATTGCTCGATACCCAAGCAATTGACCAGGTCCGTTTAACTCTTTTTGAACTGCCTCTTTAACTTGATCAACCGTCACGTTTCTATCTGTGCGTTTTAACTCGAAATAACTAAGTCGTCTATCCAAAGTTCGGATGCTCCACGCATACTGTGGAAAATCTCTTCTTAAGAAATCTAGCATCTCATTGCGTTGATAACCTTCCCTCACGTGCCTTGCCATTTGTTCTTTTAGCTGTTCGTCTTCAACCCAGTTGTTATTTCGAAAGTACGCCATGTTCGAAAAAATGCCCGCAAGGTATTGTGGTATACTGTGGCAGCTCTAGGCCGTGTGGAAATTTGAATTTACTTTCAAATTATTTTAACTTTATTTTAGTGTTAAAAAATATTCTATTTAATTTGATTTTCTTTTGTTTTAAATTACTTTTATTTGAAATTCGTTTCAATTTGATTAATTTTGATAATTTTATTTTGGAAAAATTGAATGGCAGTTCTCGGCCACCATACACGTCACACATGTCCACATGCTAATGCGCATCCATAATAGATTCTTTCGTAGCACGTATGACATCAGAAAGCTTTAGATTTGACGGCCAGTGAACTGTATATTATACGGAGTGGTAACTTGGTTGCTAAAAGTACGCCTATGTTTATGTCTTTAATCACTCATGCATGGATTTTGCTTGTGGAGAATTTTACAAACCCTGTAACGTTAATTGTTGCAAATGAATCTATATATGCGCTGCATGTTTTGATGTTTAGTTTGCTGATGATGCATTGATTAGTTTGACATTATATAAACATATATTTAACTCAAGGCTTTCTAACGCTTAACCCGAATTGTGACGCAAACCGAAATGTATATATGTATATAATATTATAGCATAATATAATGTGAATAGCGGTATAGCTAATAATTTTAGTTAAACATTCAAATGAAGGTGTATTTATGTGCACAGTGCACACATACTTTCGCAAACACATTCAATCAATAAACATTCTCTCAGAAGCGTTCGAACGATTAAAGTTTATGAACGGTTTTAACGAATTAGCCTGAAGCCTTGAAGCGCGTGATATGATGTTATTGACTAATTAAAAGAAAAGGAAATATGTGTCAAGCAAGAAACATTTGTCGGCGAGGTACATTAGCCATACTATCCAAACCACATTTTTTTAATAATACAGTAGTGTGTTATTACTATTGTACTATCTTCTAATCTTGTAAATATTGTACTATGTTAGTATGCATTATTGTACTATCTTTATATTTTCTCTGTATTATTCACACGCCCCTCCTGGAAATCAACTATTATTAAAGTTGAGTGGGGCTACCGTGTTTTACATTAAGTGATGTATATATGTACTATGTATGTGTATGTGTATAAAAAAAGATCCAACTTCAGCACGCTATTGTACTTAAACTACTCAGTCTATGAACGACATTTCTTCACATTCGGAAAGATTTGGTTTTTAACTATTGCTTGATATCCTGTCGCGTTTCGCCGCGATATATCTCAATCAGCTTTCACAAACAGACTCAGGAAAAAAAATACCACCGTTTATTTACAAAACACAGCCTTATATACATTAACGCCCACACTATACTATACAATACATTTACAAACACAATACAAAACTGGGGTATCATGCGTTCAATCATGCGTTCGTTTAATCATGCGTTCATGTTCACAACATCGCCCCCACCCAAACCATCAAATTGTCCCAATGATGGTGCACTCTCTAACTGTCCGTTTCCGAATTCCAAAGTTCTGACTGATCACCACGATAGGCCCATAGACGATTCCGATGAACCACTTTAAGTTTTCCCTTCGGGTTTCGTTGAATTCTATAAACAAGATCATTCAACCGTGTGATAACAACGTATGGTCCCTCCCAAGGCCACATTAATTTAACGCTTCTTCCTCTCTTCTTGCGAGGATTGTACAACCAAACTTGATCACCCTCGTTAACTACATTTGTCGAACTGTCCACATCGTAACGTTTTCTCATCGACTCAAAGCTTTGTTCAAGATACTTTCTCGCGAACTCGTGTGTCACTTGCAAATTTTCTTGTAGTTCTTGAACGTAGGCAGAATAACTTTCAACAGTTTCCGGATCAGGTCGTCCACAAACTAAATCGACTGGAGTTCTAATTTCTCGTCCCATCATCAATCGTGCGGGGGTAAAATGGGTAGAAGCATGAGTTGCTGTTCGATACGCCATGAGCAGTAAGGAAACATACTTGTCCCAGTCTTTTTGGTGTTCAGCAACAAACAGGGAAAGTTGAGTTTTCAATGTTCTATTGTAACGTTCAACCATTCCATCGGACTCTGGGTGCAGAGGCGTAGTCCGAGTTTTTTTTATGCTGAGTAAGGAACACATTTCTTGAAACACGGTTGATTCAAAGTTTGTTCCCTGATCCGAGTGCAGTTCGAGCGGGACTCCAAATCGGCATACAAATTCATTTACTATCGCTGTGGCAACCGTTTTTGCTTCTTGATTTGGCAAAGGATATGCTTCCGGCCATTTCGAAAAATAATCCATAACTACCAGTAAGTAGCGATTGCCCTTTGTAGATCGAACCAGCGGACCCATTACATCGATGGCAACCCTCTCCAATGGCGCGCCAACAACATATTTTCCGAGACGAGCTTTCTTTCGTGTCACTGGACCCTTACGTGAAAAACATTCCGAACAAGTAGAGCACCACAGTGTCACATCTTCACGACAACGAGGCCAGTAGAATTTCTCCTTTACCTTTTCTAGCGTTTTTTTTTCTCCAAAATGCCCTCCGGTTGGGTGGTTGTGAAGATGAGTTAAAACTGCTCCTCGTAAAGCTTTCGGCAGCACCAGCTGGAGTCGTGTGGTAGTTCCGTCCGATGATTCCCACTTTCGACTTAAAATATTATTACGCAAACACAAACTGTCCCATTGTGCCCAGTAATTCTTCGTCGCTTCGCTAAGAGCCGAAACGGCGGACCACTGTGGTCTTCCATTACCATCTTTTATCCATTTAATTACATGCCCAACGTCTGAATCCATTTCCTGAGCCTTCATTATGTCTTGCGGGCCCACATTTTCAATGAAATTCTCACCTGCCAAATATTCACAATCTGCATCCTCAGCTGGTAACTGTCCCCTGATTCGGTTGGCCACCAACGTCGACCTGTGTTTTTCATTTTCACAGTAAACCTCATGTGTTGCTCGCTCTTTTGACTCAGCTCTTTCACAACTTTTGCAATGTTCCTTGAAACATGGTCGTCGCGACAATGCATCGGCGTTGAGATGATACTTTCCAGGTCGATGTTCAACCTGTAGATCATATTGTTGAATCTTTTGTAACCAGCGTGCGAGCTGACCTTCGGCGTTCTTAAAATTCATTAGCCACCGAAGCGAGGAATGATCTGTCCGGACAATAAATTTTCTTCCATAAAGGTAGGGATGGAAATGAGCTAATGATTTTACCACAGCTAGTAACTCTCTTCTTGTTGTACAGTACTGACGTTGTATACGATCAAGCGACCGACTAAAATACGCAATGACTCGCTCTTCATTTTTCTGTTTTTGTGTTAAAACAGCTCCAATTGCGACGCCACTTGCATCCGTGTCCAATATCAATGTTCCTTCGTCACTCAAAAAGGATAAGACCGGGGTACTTATCAACAAACATTTCAACCGTTGGAACGCGTTCTCCGTATCAGTGTCCCATACAAAGGGTACATCCTTTTGTGTTAGACGAGTGAGTGGATTTGCAATCTCAGCAAAATTCTGTATAAACTTTCGGTAGTAGGAACATAATCCCAAGAAACTTCTCATTTCAGCCAGGCAAGTTGGACGGGGCCAGTTCTTGACACTCTCCGTTTTCATGGGATCTGTTGCCACACCATTACAACTGATGATATGCCCCAAGTATCTAACTTCACGACGAAACAGATTGCATTTTTCCGGAGAAAGTTTCAGATTAGCTTTCCTCAAACACGTAAACACTTTCTGTAAATTTTCTAACTGCTCAGGAAATGTTTTGCCATGAACAATTATATCATCAAGGTATACTAGACAAACGTTCCAAGTTAACCCAGCAAGTACATGATCCATTAAGCGCTCGAATGTGGCGGGAGCGTTGCACAACCCAAAAGGCATTACCCGAAAATGCCATAAGCCCCCACCAATGCTAAATGCCGTCTTCTCTTTGTCTGCAGGATCCATAGCCACTTGCCAATAACCGGACTTTAAGTCCAGTGTGGAGAACCATTTCGAGCCACCTAACGCATCGAGGGTGTCATCTATCCTGGGCAAAGGATACGAATCTTTGATTGTCACATCGTTCAATTTCCGATAGTCTACACAGAATCGAAGACTACCATTCTTCTTTGCGACCAATACTACGGGTGATGACCACGGGCTCGTTGATGGTTCAATCACACCGTGCTTTAGCATATCGTCCACTGCTTGGCAAGCCGCATCCCTCTTTACACGGGGCAGTCGTCGGGGCGGCTGTTTGATTGGGATTGCTGAACCGGTTACTATTCGATGTTTTACGATATCAGTTCTTCCAAGATCTGAAGAATCAGTGGAGAACACAGTAGCATTTTCACGCAATAAGTTGAACACTTGCTTCCTTTGTTCCTCGTCGACCAAATCTTTTGTACAACTTTCGTAAAGTTTCTCGAGATTTTTTGGTATTTCTTTTGAGGCCACGGACTCTTTAAAACCATTTTCAAAGTCAGGACAAACAACAAAGTTCACCGTTTCACATTTTGCCAGGTCGGTTCCTGCTAAAACTTTACGCTTTTCCCCTGTCACGTTAACCATCCGTATTGGAACTACCGTGGTTTCATTCGTTAACTTCGTCAAAACTTTACCAATCAAGACTCCGGGAATAGATTCCTCATCAGCAGGTTCAATAATTCCCCACTCACTCTTACCAGAGTAATTCACCAACTTTGCAGGAACGACAGCCTCAGTACGAGGCTGTATACTAATATCTTCAAGCGCTATTACACGATAGCAAGGCATATCCAGATGGTCCGTCGGATAATACAAAAGAGGTACTTGAACATTTCCCATTGTCAGTAGTCCATCTGTAATGTTAACTTGACAACGTTGTTGCCGCAGAAAGTCCAAACCCAAAATAGACGATTCATTAATGGCCGCCACGTAAAATGACTGTAAAATTTCTCGGTTACCAATTTCAAGCTTAAGAGTTATAATCCCCAACAGATCCAACTTTTCACCTGTCACCGATTTCAAACAGTTTGGAACTGGTTGTATACACGACAAATCTTTCGTGATGTTCCGTAACAATTGTGGGGTG